TGGTCTCAGCTGCTTGTGTGTTTTGACCACAGTTCTTCACCCAGGAGTCCTTGGGAGGTTGGGAAGCAGGGATGAGACACACAGCGGGGTGGGGAAGGGAGGGACTTGGCCTTTGGATTCTTTGGCCCTCACTTTACAAATAAGGAAACAGATTCAGAGAGAAGTGAGTTGCCCAGTGGCTGGAATTTAGAGGAGCACTTCTTCTGTTCTTTTTATTTTTCTTTTTTTTGCGGTACGCGGGCCTCTCACTGCTGCGGCCTCTCCCGTTGCGGAGCACAGGCTCCGGACGCGCAGGCTCAGCGGCCACGGCTCACGGGCCCAGCCGCTCCGCGGCATGTGGGATCTTCCCGGACCGGGGCACGAACCCGTGTCCCCGGCATCGGCAGGTGGACTCCCAACCACAGAAGACCCCTTCTTCTGTTCTTCCTCTCAAATTTCGTTGTCCGCTCAGGGAATGATTTTGAATAGGGGTGGAGGCTGCAGCAGGAAGAACACTTACTGTTTTTCACCAGTCAGGGGCTGGCTTTCCCAGGTCGCTACCAGGAAACCGGCTCTGGGGACAAAGGACTGACATTTTGAGGAGCTCTGCTGAGGGGCAGGCAGTGTGTTCGGTAACAGGGCCTCATGGAATGTTTCCAGCCCTCTGGGGTAGATAACATTATCCTCACTGCAGAGACGGGGCATTCGAGCTCAGAAAAGTTGTCGGTTGTGGGGAAAGAAGGGCCGGGCAAGTGTGGTTTGGCGGCTGAGCTGGGCCCATGTGAAGCGATGATGTTCACTGCCTCCCATGGGGGTGGGTGGGGAGAGGGACTCAGCTCTGATAAGATAGGGAGTTGAGGAAACGCACTGACTACCTCCATCCGCAAACCATTCTCTCCTCCCAACCTCCGACCTCTCTGAGGGCCGGGGGATGGTTTGGCCTCGTTTGGTTCCTCTTCGAAGGGTGAACTCTGGCACCACCCCAGGGTGATTCCTGAGACAGGTCAGGTTCCTCCTGGCTGGCCACATGCTGGTCTGCCCAGCGGCCTGCCTGCCTGGCCCTGCTCCTGCAGCCTCCCCTCCCTTTGTAGGGCTCTCCTGAGCGAGGCCAGCCCCAGGCCCTAAGGCAGCAGCTGCTGCTGGTCTGGACGGGGAGGGCTTCCCATGCTCTGGTTGGCAGATTCTTGGATCACGTCCCTGGAGAACTCTGGCTTCCTGGTTACTCAAGCTCCCACCGTGGTGAGAGCCTGAGGGCACGAGGGCCAGCCGGTGGGTATGCCAGCTCGCAGCCCTCTCTCACCTGGCTCCCCTGGGGAAATGTAGCTTCTTGGCCCAAAGCTCTTGGGCTTTGCTGGTTTCCTAGCCCTTTCCAGGGGTGGGTAAGCTTCGGCCTCTGTAGCTGCAGGCCGGAGGCTGAGCTGAGCTGGCGGAGAGCCTGAGTGCTGGAGTTCCCGCTTCTGGGAGAAGTGAGAGCTGGAGATACCTCCATAACTTCGGGCAGAGCTGCCAAACCGCCTCACTGGACAAAGACATCTGCTGGCTTTCTTTTGAGGGGCAATGTGACCTCTTCCGAAAGGCCTCTGCAGTGCCTCCATGGTCAATCTTGGCAAAGAAAGAATGCTCTAGACCAGGGGTTATCAAACCCATGGGCTAAGTACAGCCTGCCATCTGTTTGTCTAAATAAAGTTTTACTGGAACAGAGCCATGCTCACTTGTTTATACACACTGCCTAAAGCTGCTTTGGTGCTACAGTGGCAGGGACCTTATGGCCTGCAAAGCCTAAAATATGACCGTCAGTAAAATGACTGTCTGGTTATTTACCAAAAAAGTTTACTAACTCCTGCTCTAGACTGCCGAAGATCTGGCCTCCAAGTTCAGAGAGGCTCTGTGGACTGAGGGGACGAGCTGGCCCAGGTGAGCAGTGTCATGGAAACAAAACCAGGAAGCAAGGGGAGGTAGATAACCGGCTAGGGTGGTTGCCCAACACAGAGCTGGAAGACCTGCCCGGCACCAGGGACAGCAGAGCTGTTCTCTGAGCCTCTCCCCCCTCCGGCTTGTGCTGCTTTAGCTCCCCGCTAACATGGCCAACAAGGGTCCTTCCTACGGCATGAGCCGTGAAGTGCAATCCAAAATCGAGAAGAAGTATGACGAGGAGCTAGAGGAGCGGCTGGTGGAGTGGATCATAGCGCAGTGCGGCCCCGACGTGGGGCGTCCGGACCGTGGGCGTCTGGGCTTCCAGGTCTGGCTGAAGAATGGCGTGGTGAGTGGCACCCGGGGCAGGGGGGCTGGGTCCATGCCATCCTGCCGGAGTTGTGGGGCAGAACCCCCAAACCGAGTGCCAAGCTACCTTCTACACCTGGCAGATTCTGAGCAAGCTGGTCAACAGCCTGTATCCGGATGGCTCCAAGCCGGTGAAGGTGCCTGAGAACCCGCCGTCCATGGTCTTCAAGCAGATGGAGCAGGTGGCTCAGTTCCTGAAGGCAGCTGAGGACTATGGTGTCACCAAGACTGACATGTTCCAGACTGTTGACCTCTTTGAAGGTACAGAGAGAAGAGGGGTGGAGGCAGGTGGGGGACAGGAGGCTGAGGCAGGGACGAGGGATGATCAAAACTGCCATGATGATGGCTCTGCACAGCACGAGTGGGGTACGTCAGGAGAATCCCACACCCGCAAGGGCGTACCCTGGGATCTACTGCGCCTCTTTCGATTTTAGGACAAACTCTGCCCCGGGTTGGCCAATTTTCTGAGAGGTGTGGGCAGGCTCTGCCTTGGAGTCCTGTTTACACAGTCCTGAAGATCATTTCCCCTCCCCTCTTTCTACTCACAGGCAAAGACCTGGCAGCGGTGCAGAGGACCCTGATGGCCCTGGGCAGCTTGGCAGTGACCAAGAACGATGGACACTACCGTGGAGATCCCAACTGGTTTATGAAGTATGCAGCCACCCGGGTTTCCCTGCACCCTGAGCTTGGGTCTCTGCAGGAGATGGACTCTCTGCAGGAGAAAGTCTAGGATGGGGGGAAATGGGTCCCTAATCCTTCTTGACTCCTCCCTTTCTACCCTCCTGTCTCAGCCAGTCTCCATAGCCTGTGCTGTGGGGCAAGCTAGATTAAGGGAACGAGCGGTGAAATGGGGAGGGAATGGGATCGGCCTAGGAAGTAACAGAGGAAACCAGAGATGGGTGGAAAACACACAGTCCTGGCAAGTCTTTGACCTGGTTCCTCCTCTCCTAGGAAAGCCCAGGAGCATAAGAGGGAATTCACAGAGAGCCAACTGCAGGAGGGAAAGCATGTCATCGGCCTACAGATGGGCAGCAACAGAGGGGCCTCCCAGGCTGGCATGACAGGCTACGGCCGACCTCGGCAGATCATCAGTTAGAGGTGGAGGGCCAGCCCCCGGCCCCGCCCTCGCCCAGCTCGCCGGCCGCAGCCCTCCCGCCTCGCCAGCCTCACCCACACCCGTGTAGTTCCTTCAGCCCCGGCCAAGCTTCGAGGCTCCGTCACTGAGCAAAGGTGACTGCACTTGGGCAGCTCGCTCACACCCCTCAGCCTCAGCCCAACTTCTGACCCCAAAGCACTGCTCCCCTGGCCCACCTCCCAGCTCCCCGGCCAGCTCCACTGTCTCTCCATCCCGGGCCGAGCAGGGGAGACGTGGGCTGGCAGTGGCCTGGGTGTGGGCAAGTCCACCGTCCTCCTGGGCAGCTGATGCTCATAGAAGGAGACCCAGGCCAACCGCCCCCGATGTTTTTGCTGGAATATTTTGGGGGTTGAAATTCAAAAGGAAAAGAAAAAAATACATCCATCTTTTCTCAGGCCTGGCTGGCAGAGTCTGATTTGCCCATGTCACTTCCGTTCTGGTTACGGGGAATCTGAGCAGGGAACAGGCAGGCGGCTCGGGTTTACGTGTGCTCCCGGCTGCCGTCCTCTGAAGGACCCCTCGAGTTCCAGGATTTCAGGGGCTGGGAGAGGAGAGCGAATGTCGGGCCTGAGGGAACGAGCAGCAACTTGGAGACTTGCATTAGCTTTGGGGAGGCGGCAGAAAGGAGATGGGAGGGGGCAGAACTGTGAGGAAGGTTTTTACTTTGGAAAAGCTGTGCAGAAAAAATTCAACAAAATGTTGCTGTGAAAAGAGAAAACCAAATCTTAAGCGTTAAAAAAAAAGAAAAAATTCAAATCGACCAACTAGCTCAGAAGAGGGGAGGAGGCCAAGAATGGGAGGAAGAGTCGCAGCCCGCCAGGCAGATGGCTGGCCTCCGTCAGGCAAGCCACTTCCCTGAGCACTTGGCAGAGGAAGACGAGTGGTCGCAGGGCTGCAGGGGCAGTGACTGATCCGACACCTGTCCCAGTCCTGCCACAGACTCCCCCAGGATGTGCCCTAGCCCTGCCAGGTGCGTCGTACCGATCCTTCAGGATGAAGGGTGGGCGTGATGGTGAAGGGATCAGGGGTGTGTTCAAGGTTGGCTTCTGATCAGGGCTAATGGAGGCAGCTGCTTCCAGGGCATGTGTGCTGAGCTGAGGGTTGACTGCCACGCCCATATGGCCAAGGTCCAAGGCTTAGGCTGGAAGGTGAGGGGGAGAGAGGGAAAGTCTGCTGTTTCTGGCCCCTGGGTCGTTAAAAGGACAGGCATGTCTGGGGCTCTTCCCAGCCTCCACCCCTAAGCCCTCTTCCCAAGTGACCCCAGTGATGTTTCTGCTGAGATGCTCTTCTGGCCATGTGAGGGTGAGGGTCCCTGTGACCAACACCACTGGCCTGCCCTGGAGAAACAAGGATGGAGGCCTGCCCAGCAGGGGCCCCAATCCCTTGTCTGAGACCTTCTCACCAAAAACTCCCGTTGGGTTGGAGGAAGGTTCCATGGCTGTTGCGAGACTGTAATCTGGCTCTGCTTGTACCTTCTGAAGGCCCTTGCCCTCCCTGAGTGTGGTCTTTAGCCAGAGGGTGCTCTTTAGGCCTCTGGTCCCAGGTGGAAGCATCGGGGCTGCCTTCTCCCCAGAGCTCCCGGGACTGCGGAGCAGCTTTCCAAGCTTCCCCAGTCTTAGGAAGTTAGAGCCTCTCCCACGTTGGCTATCAGGCCCAAGGTCAGCAAATCTGCGCCTCCTTCCCCTGCAGCAGGTCTGGGGGCAGGTGCTGAGGGCAGTCCAGGGCACTCCTGCTCTGGGACAGGCTCCAGTCCCCTTGATCCAGCAGGTCTGGGGCGTGGAGCCCGGAGGTGGCGGGAGGGCCCTCGCTCTCCATCCCCACTCCACCTGGATCCTGGCTGCTGCAAAGGGGCACTGATTCCAGTTCTGTCCCCTCCTCCTTGGCTGTTCGGCTTCGCTGGGGCCGGTGGCAGGGTCCACTCCTACAAACTGGGTGAGAGGCCACATTCCTCTGGCTCAAGTATACTTCCAGCATGTAGTAAATGGTCCAGAAGACGGCGAAACAGCCTATCAGCACCAGGGTCTGGGGGAAAGTCAAACACCAATGTAAAGGTGGTTTCCCAGAACAATGGGCTCAGAAACTCTCTCTCTTCCTAGAGGCTGCCTCTCCCACCCCAAACCACTCCCCCTGTTCCCCCCACACAAGGAATGCCTTGGAGAGTTAGCCTGTCGAGTGGGGACCTAGGTCTTCCCAACCCCTCACTCCCCAAGTCACCTTGAGTCTCCCACCAAGGACCACAACCCTCAGGACACTCCTGCCTGCCTGCAGCTTGGGTTTGGGCCCTCGTACCTTGAGGGTGTTCGGGGTGATGGTATAACCATCTTCCTCTGGGATTTTCAGCCCGGGAGGGCAGGGCAGCGTGAAGCCATCGTGCAGGTATTTCCCACTCATGGCACTTTCTAGTAACCTGTGGAGAAGGGAGACGAGGATGCCCTACTCAGCTTGGTTCCTCTACTGCCTGCCTCGCCCATCCTCCCACCTCACAGCCAGACAGAGGGAAGCCCCACAGCAAAGAGGGGAGGGCCACACTGTGGGTTCCTAGTGAGGTGGCACTCCCTAAGTGGCCTTCTCCCTGCCCCCATGAGTCCCCCTCCCTCTGACACATGTGTCTACACCTACCTTTGTCTGTCCCTGATGTCTACTGGACTCCACACAGAGCCATATAGGGTCAGCTGCCATTGCCGGAGGATGCCGGCCTGGGACATCTCATCTCCTAGAGCCGCAAACAGGGCGGTCCGTGAGCCACGCCCCGCTGTTGGCCACACAGACAGCAGAGGCCCTGCCCACCCTGCCACCCAGAGGGACTCAGACCACATGAGCGGCCACAGTAGTTGTCTAAGTAACTGTGTCCCACTGACCCCAGGGTACTACAGACGTGCCTCTCGGGGTGCCCTTAGGAATGGAATGGCGGAGGTGAAAGGTGGCACTCCCAAGCAGAGAAGTTTTGCCTCTTTCATACATATTTTGGGGTTTCAGCTGGGATTTTTCTTGGGGGAAAAAAAAAAAGTCCAGCTAAATTAAAGGAAGGTTTGAAAACCACCAGTCTGGTGATGACACCTAACTTGGCTGGAAGTTGGGACGGTTGGGTTCAATTTCCAGTCCTCACTGAGATACTGTGTGACCTCACACAAGTCACTTCAAACCTCTGGGTGGGCCTCAGTTTAAGAAAAAAAAAAAACGGTGAAAATTAGTCCTGCCCTTACCTGCCTACCAGGGCTGGCCGCAGGATGGTTATATGTGAAAGAACTTGAAATGTGGTTTCAACAAGGAATTTTTGTTGCTATCCTGAGGAAAAATGGATCAGTCACTTCTCCAAGGAATATGACAGGTAGTATAAATGAACAATTCCAGGTATCAATGCCCATTTGTTTGGATGGGGCATACGTCTTGGCATCTACCCTCTTGGTCCGATGGCAACCCTATGTATTCCACCTGGGACAATTTCTGTGGGGACCCTGAGATCCAGAGGGACCAGATGACAATCACGAAAGGCAGGGCCCTGGTGGGGGGCAGGCAGGCTTACCTACATCCCTGACGACGAGCCTGTAGGTCCCTTTCGCTCTTTCCCCCCAGCACCGCACAGTGGAGAAGGTCCAATCATTGAAGCCATTGGAGTCCCTGGGGCAAGAACAGAGGAGACAGAGGAAGGCATGGAGCAGGGAACTGACCCCTTTGCCCAAAAGCATTTTCTTACTGTAGTAGCAGTTGTTGTCTGAGCTACAGCCATCGGGAAGGTGCCATGAAGGGCCCTCAAGTGCTGGCCCTTGCCCCTGGGATCTCAGGGGCTGAGGGACCTGTGTCAACGTAGTGTAGTGGAAAAAGCAAACGTGGAGAGAACACGGGCTTGGGAGTCCCACAGGTCTAGGCTTACTGCTATTCTCTCAGGCACTTAACTAGCTCTGTGACTTGTTTCCTCATTTGTAAAGGGTTACAAAGTCTACCCTGCATGGTCCTTACTAGGATTAAAGAAACTTGTGACCACCTAGAGGGGTGGGATAGGGAGGGTGGGAGGGAGGGAGACGCAAGAGGGAAGAGATATGGGAACATATGTATATGTATAACTGATTCACTTTGTTATAAAGCAGAAACGAACACACCATTGTAAAGCAATTATACCCTAATAAAGATGTAAAAAAAAAAAAAAGAAAAGAAACTATATTTCAAGTGCAGTGCTGAGCACATTGTAAGCACTTGAACAAAGCAGGTAATAAAGCCAGTGCCACGGTAGCTTAGGACAGTGCCAGTGTCCACTCCTCCCATATCTTTTCCTGGAAAAGGCCCTTGTCGCAGAGAGAGCTCAGGTGAGGGCACGTGTACGTACGAGTCCAAGCTGCGGGGGGTGCCAATAAGAGACATCATGCCACTGGGGCAAAACAGCTTCAGTTCCAAGCTGCCACGTCGTGGATGAGTGATGGAGACTGTCACGGCCACGTGCTCCAGGGTCTTCAGCCCCGACATCTCCAGGTCCATCCTGCTGACTGTGGGAAGTCAGGCTGGGCAGCTGGGAAACCAGCCCCACAAACACTTACGCCCTCACTTCACCCCAACAGACAAAGGAACATACTCATGGAAGACACATACAAACATCTTTGGCAACCCTGACTGAACCTCGTGTACACTAGTAAATGGAATGCAGTTGCTGCTTTCGAGTTTACAATCTAGTTTAGAGTCCAGTTGGGAGGACAACACATACCCAAGACACAATGGAAGAACCAAGCGGAGCAATTTCCGACATTCATTCACCCAAAAAATAATTTACTGAGTACCTCCTACATTTCAGGTACTGTGCTAGCTGCTGGGAATATAAAGAAAAGTTGGACATGGTCTCTGCCTTCTATGTGCAAGTGGAAAATGATATGATATGCGGTCTACATAACTGATGCTAGAACAGAGATGAGTCAGATGGGTTTAGGCACGCAGCCGTGAGACACACTCTGAGGCAGGAAGTGAATACAATTGGTGGAGAGTGTTGGTAGAGGGTATTCTAGAAGGGGAAATGGCATGTAGAAAGACAGCGGTGGACATGAACAAGTTTCATACTGAAGGAAATACAAATTAAAAAAAAAAACTACTGAAGTGAAAAAATTTCAAGGAAATTGTGCTGAATGAAAAAAAGCCAGTATCAAAAGGATACACAGTGTGTGACTTCATTTACATAATATTCATGAATAACATAACTGTAGCGATGGAGAACAGATTAGTGGTTGCCAGGTGCTAGGGACAGTGCAGAGGGGACGGGTGTGGCCATAAAGGGGTGGCACTGAGGAGCCTTGGGATGCAGTGGTTCCAGATATTGGCTGTGGTGGTGATTACACAAGGCTATACATGTGGTAAAATTACAGACACACACACACACACACACACAGAAATATGAATCTAACTGGTGAAATCTGAGTAAGTGCTCTGGATTGGGCCAATATCGTTTTCTTGGTTTTGCTACTGTCCTAGAATTAAGACATTTAACATCAGGAGAAGGGTGCACAGGACTTCCCTGAACATTTCTTTGCGACCTCCTGTGAATCTACAATTATTTCAAAATAAAAAGTCAAAAAAACCCAAAACAAACAAACAAACAAAAAAAACGCCACCAAACTGAAGTAGGAGACTCAATTGGGGAATATTAAGAAATTAGGCTGCATTGAGAAATGATTCTTTCCAGAGCAACTTTCCTTTCATTAATTCATGCCGACAGGCAAAGCAGAGAGCAGCACCCCCATTTCACAGATGAAGCAGCTCAGAGAGAATATGAAAGTATGGGCAGCGGACCCAGCATGGGAAGGGCTTTAAAATTTTTTATTTTAAACAAGCAACTGAGAGCTATTAGAGATTATCGAGCAAGGACAGAGTTTAAAAAAAAAAAAAAAAGTGCTAAAGGAAGGTTACTTTTAACAGCTGTGGGTAGGCTGAATCAGAGTAGGAAGAAGAAACAGGTGACAGGAAGCCCAGCTAAAATGCTTGATTCTAAGGGTAAGCCGATGTGAGCGTGGATAACTGATCAAAGAAGAAAGAGCGGGGAATTCCCTGGCTGTTCAGTGGTTAGGACTCCGTGCTTTCACTGCCGGTGAAATAAACCCTTTCTCAACTCTGGTGCCTGCTGGTGCTAATGGCATGGGCTCTGGAGACACCCAGCCTGGGTTCAAATCCCAGCTCTGCCATTTACTAGCTATGAGAATTAGTTTCTTTATCTGTAACGTGTCCCCGTCATAGTTCATGGTTTCTCTCTCTTTTTTTTTTTTTAATTAATTTATTTTTTATTTTTGGCTGCGTTGTGTCTTCGTTGCTGTGTGTGGGCTCTTCTCTAGTTGCGGTGAGCGGGGACTGTTCTTCGTTGCAGTGTGCGGGCTTCTCACTGCGGTGGCTTCTCTTTGTTGCGGAGCACGGGCTCTAGGCACATGGGCTCTAGGTGCACGGGTTTCAGTAGTTGTGGCGCACGGGCTTAGCTGCTCCACGGCATGTGGGATCTTCCTGGACCAGGGATCGAACCCGTGTCCCCTGCATTGGCAGGCGGATTCTTAACCACTGTGCCACCAGGGAAGTCCCCATGGTTTATCATTTTAAGGTACACTCTCTGTCTCTTATTTTCTGCTGTACCTGGGGCTCTGGGCTCTGGAGAATAAACTTCCCAACTCCTGCCCGGATAAGGCTGCTAAGGATGGGAGAAGACACCTGGGAGTCTACCTTTTAATTGATCTCTCGTTTTACTCTCACACCTCATCTCTGTCTTCTGTAGTGCACGGGGCCTCCGAGTCCTGAGCCTTTGGGGATTCTGAGGCATGAAACGAGCTTGTTGCCTAGGTTCACCCTTACAGGTATTTGGTTTGCAACTTTCTTAGCCCTGCCCACCTCTCCACTCGTTTTCCGTCTTCCAAAAATGTGTTGCGATCTCTCCTTTGCTGTGGTCTCATCTCTCATTCTCTTTGTCCTTGTGCTTATACCACTTTTATTCCTTTATTCTCACTTTGGTGAGGTTTTGGGAGTAAGCAGAGATAAAAGCACGTGTTCAATTCACCATCTTTAACCAGGAGTCTTCTTCTGTCCCCACGAATTGTTCAACCCACCGCAGTCTAGCTTTTGCCCCCATGAAACAAAGTACTCTTGGCAGTGGAAGCACGGAGTCCTAACCACTGGACCGCCAGGGAAGTCCCAAAGTATTCTTCTTAAGGTCGCCAACGGCCTCCTTGATAAACCAGGGACGCCCTCAGTCCTTGCCCGCTTGCCCACTCCCATCAGAACTACCCTAGATTCCAGTGACACCATCCTCCTGTTTTTTTTCCAACCTCAGGCATCTCTTCTCAGTTTTCTTCTGAGGCCCCTTTCCTCTGTCCACTCCTTTAATGTCAGCCTGTGTCCTAGGTCCTCTTTTATCCTTGTCTACCCCCAACCCTAGTGATCTCCTTCTTTCTCAGACCTTTCTCTTCCATTTTTATGGGGGTGACTCCCAAACCATTACCTCCAGTCTAGACTTTCAAACTTATTTATTCAACTGCTTTCTGAATACAACCTTTAGGTGCTGCATAGAAGCCTCAAACACAGCAGAGCCCAAATTCTCTTCCTCAGTTCTTCACACTCCACCGTCCTTGCCCAAACCCCTTCTTCCTCCTGGGCTCTTAATCTCATGTGATGGCACCACCATCTAATCAATGACTCCAGCTAAAAATTTAGAAATCTTTATATATATAGGTGTACGTATATAGACGTACATCTCTATACGTACACCTTTATATATAAATTTTTACTATAGAAAGTGTCAGACCTATATAAATGGAGAGAACAGATGTTCTCAATATCTCACTTCAATAACTACCAATATATGGCCAATCTCGTTTCATCGATGATCCCCACTTCTTCCCCTCCCCAGATTCTTTTTTTTTTTTTTTTTTTTTTTTTTTTTTTTTTTTTGCTGTACGCTGGTCTCTCACTGTTGTGGCCTCTCCCATTGCGGAGCACAGGCTCCGGACGCGCAGGCTCAGCGGCCATGGCCCACGCTGCCCAGCCGCTACGCGGCATGTGGGATCCCCCCAGACCGGGGCACGAACCCACGTCCCCTGCACTGGCAGGGGGGGGCGGAAGCCCCTCCCCAGATTCTTTTGACAGAATCGCCAGGCATCATATCCTTTCATTAGTGAAGATTTCCCATGTATCTCTAAAAGGTAAAGCCTCGGGAATCTGACTGCTCTCCTTCTCCCTTACTGCTAACATCAATTGGTGATAACTGACCTTGAAGGCTCCCCACAAACTTCAAGATAAAGGCCAAACCCCTTACCACGGCAGACACAGTTCCATGTGGCCCTACTACCTGAGTTTCCAGTCTTCCTCTGCCAGTCAGGAGCCACGCTCCAGCCACACCTCATGACTTGCGCTCCCTGAAGATACCGTCGACTCTGCACGTGTTGCCCCTGCTGCCTGGATGTCCCTTTCCTAGCCTCTTCCCCCGGCTAGCTTACCTGGTGGGACTCGCGTCAATCTCAGTTGCTTTGAGAACCCTCCTGTGTCTTCCCTGGTGGCAAGAGGCACCCATGACATCTCCACTGCAGTGCTTGTAACACTGCGCTCTACCTGCAGGAGGGACTGTCTTCCCTACCAGACTGGGAGCAGCTCTCTGAGGGCAGAAATCTTGTCTTATCTCTGAATCCCTAGAATTTAGTACAGTGCCTGGGATGAGGTAGGTCTCGCACACTTGTAGAACGAATGAGTCAATCAATCAAGAGACATTTCAGAGAAATAAACGGAAGACAAAATTGTGAGGGCTGGAGGAAGACCTAGGGAGAGGCAAGGGATACAGTGGGATTGAAAACTCCCGAGTTTCAAGTTTGGGAGCCCAGGGAACGGAGATGGCACAGACAGAAACGAGAGAAACTTGGAAAGCAAGCTGGCTTTTGATAGGTGATAATGAAATCTAAGATGCTGTACATTTTAAATGTAATGTATTGATGGGATATCCAACAGCACACAGCGATTTAGGAATAGAAAGATGGAGGAAAATATTCCTGGCATAGTTGAAGGAGAGTGTTAACATGGAAGATAAGGGCCTAAGGGAGAGTAAGTGACACGTTATAGAGCACGACAGAACAGAAGGGAATCCAAAAAGAGCCCCGCGAGTGCTCGTCTTTGTTAGCATGTGTACGCAGTGGCACGTTACATGCATTTCCTTATTGGGGTGTACAGGGACTTGGGTGGCCAGCCATGTGGCAACACGACAAGTATTTTATTAGAATTAAATGAGTTAATCCTTAAGCCAGTGCTTGGCACCTAAAAAAGCACTCAAATCTTAGTTGATGATGATCATATTATTTTGCCTTTGGCAAGCTGGGGTCTTTTTCAACTGCCCTCCCCCCCCACCCCACCCCGCCCCGAAGATCCCAGGGATTTATTTGCCCATATTCTTGCGGAAGCCAGAAACATCTCTACCCCTCTCACTGGTTAGGGATCAGAATAAGAGATGTTGATCTAGGAATCATTTGTGGAGAGGTGGCAGCTGAAGCCATTAAACACAGCTGTGCCGTCGAGGGAGAAAACGTAGAGGGAGGGTCAAGAACATGGAACGAGCCGTAGAAGGCACTCTTGGTTTGGGGGTAGTGAGGAGAGTGAACAGAAAAACCAAGTTCCTTGGGCAGAGAAGCCAGAAGAGGGCCATGGAGCAAAGGAGGTCACTGCAGCCGCAGGAAGAGGGAGGCTGCCACACAGGTCTCATTAGTCCGGTCAGAGAACAAGAGGGCTGAGAAGGATGGGCTGTGAGCTGGCCCCTGGGTCTGAGCAGGAGAGGGGTGCTGTGAGTGATGGAGTAAGTCTTCAGCGGTGGAGAGGGTGTGATAAAGGCGAGCAATTGCTTTGGTTAATACATTTGAAAAGGTTACTGGTTGCAGGTGGGCAGAGACTTAAAGGTGTTTCCTAACAGATGCTCGGAGGGTGTTTGAAGGCAGGAGGAGGAATCAGTGGGGAGAGAAAGACTGGGCAGGTGAGGAAGATCCAGAGCCAGGAAGGAACAGGACTCAAGCATGGCCAGAGGGCGAGCCAGCACTGGCTGCAAACAAGGATAAAAGGGTAATTGCAAGTGGTGTTTGGGAATCTTCTGTAAATACACACAGGCTCCCTTGTGTTTTGGATACTCCTCCCAAACCCCGCCCTCCCTCCTACCCTCTGGTAGAGATTTCAGACCCAGAGTCAGAGCTAAAGGAACCAAGGGGCGCCAATCCCCTTCCCCCTACATCCTCCTCCTGTCTTGCTCTAGAGCTGCCCTGCCCAAGAAGGTGGCCACCAGCCACATGTGGCTATTTAAATTCAATACAATAACACACAAATTTAGTTCCTCAGCCACACGAGCCACATTTAAAACCTTCAACAGCCTCACATGAATTGCACAGCACAGACACAGACCATTTCCATCACTGTAGAAAGTTCTCTTGGACACCACTGCTGCACAGTCTTAGTGGTATCGCACCCCCTTTCCATCTCAGGGATGTTCAGTTCCTTCTACCTTACAAAAAAGTTCACCTTCCAGCCCCTGGACACTGACTCGCCCAGGTCTTGGTGGGAAAGACTGTTGCTTGGCTATAGGGAAAGGGGTTTACTAACTGTCCGGGACTAAGTTGCTCAGCTCTATGTGAACTGGACTTTCTGCAGCCTCCAAGCACGCCCACAAGCGTGGACCTTCAGTTCTGTCCGCTCAGGGGTGAATGGAGTCACAACAGAGGGGAAGACACCTTTGCTGACCTTGAAGATCAGCGGCCCGCTTGCTGGCCTCCAAACCAACGAAGGGCTCCACTGGCAAAACTCGCTGAGTCTTCACCTCCCTTCTCTCCATCCTTCTCTCCCCACTATCCCACCTCCCACTCTCCTCTGCCCAGGTCAACCTGTCCTTCTTTCTCTTGCTTCCTAGTGACAAACGAGCAGGTGCCAGATGCCTCTATACCGAGGGAAGTTTGTTAGACATGCCGGGGAACATCCCTGGTTAGTGGGAAGCAGAAGATGATGAAGCTGGGAAGGACCCCAAGTCGACCCCCTCATTTGATGGATGCGATTGCGGGTTAGCAGCCCTGGATGGGAGGTAAAAGTTAAAAGACATACTGTCCCCAAGACATGCAAGTGCGAAGCCCCGAGGTTCCTACTGAACTGCATTCCTGGGAACGTTCCTGCACTTCTCTGCCTTGGCTGATGCTTTATGCCCTTTCCAAGACAGCATTCCTTTTACGGAAAATGCAATGAACTGGGCCCATGGATTTCCTTCCACGTAGAGGGGAAACTGGGCAAGTGCTGGACATGGTTAGGTAGAGAGACAACGGGACCATTCCCAGTGAAACCTCCACCCCAGGGATGCCGTCTCCACCTCCCCTCCATGCTCCCATCTTTGGCCATTCCTCCTTTTGCCACTGTTCTGGTTTGAACACTTCCTAGGAGGATGGGAAATGCGAAAACAGTTCCATTTGTGTACAAAGCATGGCATGCTTCAATCTTCACAAAAGTTAGTGAATAACTCTGCCTGTCAAAAATCCTTGAGGAAAAAAATTCCCCAAGGAACTGGAGGTAGGGAAAACTCCCCAGTGGCAAGTCCGGGAAATCTGCAGACAGAAGATCCTCTTGCTCAAGTATCCCAATCCAGCTGCCCTCTTCTCTGGGAAGGGGTTCAACCTCTGTGCTCAACATAAGACGACATCTCTGACTGACAACACATGGCCCTCACCCCTTCAGATAGTCCTAGCGGCCCCAGGTGTGATGGACGCATGGGCAGAGGGAGGGCCGCCACAGTCTAGGGAGCCCTCCGGGGACTCCTCTGTCCTCCCCCTACAGGCCCCAGCTGACTCTCTCTGTATTAGATAAGCCTGAGAATCAAAGGAAGACATTCTCAACTCCCTCATTCCATCCAAAGGCCACCGAGTTGCAGCAAATCGTCTGGCAAGTTCCTAGCATGGAAGTCAAAGGCACGTCTTTCAACTCGTGCCTTGTCTCCCAGGTCCCAGTCCCAGCCCTCCCACCAGCCTTCCTAATCGCTTGCTCGGCAGTCCTTTCCACCACCAGTAACTCAGGAGAAAGGTCTCGTTTAAGCAGCCGGGGGGCCAGCCAACTCAGAAGCAGCATCATGTCCTAAAATGGTCAAAGAAAACTCCACAGGTTTGGCTGGAGCTCAGCTCCTACAGGAAGGGGGTAGGATCCGGCAGGGAGGATGAGTTTAGCTTCTCCATCACCCCGCCCCAAACCTCAGGCCCACGATTAACCCCCTTTCTGCTGACTGCTTACCATTCCACAGGACCTCCAGGGGGCGGGCGGACAGTGGGATAGCCTTGTTCTCTTTCAACACGGGGCTGACGTAGGAAGCTAAGTAAGGGACAGACGTCCAGATCTATGAAAGGAAGCGGGGACGGCGAATGAACAAACAAGATGGACCCCACACACCCACTCTCATCTACTTGGCCCCTAGGGCACTGCTCTTTTTATTTCCCCCTTCCTCACCACCTTCTTTCGCTCCCGAGGCTCCTGCGGACCACCTGGACTGCTCCCTATGGCACCAAAGCAAGGAAATGCTGTGTCCAGGACGGCAGATGAGGGGCAGAGCACCCTGAGGGCTCCAAACGATACTCAGGTCCCATTTACTCTCCACCGATAGTTTAGAAACTTTAATTATAGTGTTGAGCCTGCTTCTTCATTTGTAAAATGGGTCTCAGATGAACGAGCATTTATTAAACACCTACGATGTGCCAGGCAGTGTCTTAGGCATTCTCCCCACCTCCTTTGTCATTCCACGCAGGACACCTATTCACCTTGGCTGCGTTCACAAGTCTCCAAGCATTGAGCAGGCCGAATCCGTGCTGGTGGCTGTGGCTAAAGCCGGCCTCGTTGGTGATCCAATCCGCGCGGCGATCCTCATACTGAGAGGACAGGGGTCCCGGTTAGCCTCTCGGATTTTAAGTTTCCCTGCTCGCCCTGCTAGCTGATCCCATCCAGACTCTCCCACCAAGGTTGCTAGGAATGGATTCCCCAAGGAAAGCTGGGACAAAAGGGCAAAGGCCTGTGATGTCACCAGCCCAATGGCCTGTTTCTAGAGAGGGAGCCAGGAGCCACAGGCTCGAGAGTCAGGAGCCCAGCCGGAGCTCTCCTTTGCAGGTAAAAGGGCAGCAGCAGAACAGGTGCGAGGGAATTTAGGTCTGTGGTCTTGATGGGGTCCCCACACTTGTTCCGTGCACAGGCAACTCTGGACGGGATTTGGCACCTAACGTCTGGGACACCTAGAATCTGAAGCCTCCTGAAACCTGCAAGTCCCTGGGACCGAAAATCTGACGTGGGCCGGGCCAGGCCATTTGTCCACCTGCGGGGATCTCACCTGGGTGGCTGTGAAGACGATGATGTGCTGGACGTCACGCCACGTGAGGCAGGGCCGCACCTGGAGCATCAGGGCTATCATGCCGGCTGCCAGAGGGGCCGCGGCTGAGGTCCCCGTGTGGCCCTCGGTGCAGCCTGTGCCCTTCTGAAGGTCCCAGTCTGTGGTCACCTGGGAAGCGGAATGGGGAGGATGGGGACTGGGTTAGGGACTGAGTTCCCAGGGGCTGTGGAGGGAGGGGTGCGGGGCTGGGCCTCAGCGAGAGCCTCCGGGGGCCCTTCCATTGCGAAAGCTGAATGTCTAGCAGGTCCGGACGAAGGAGATTCTTCCTCCTTCTTTGCCTAACAAGAGAATCTCTGGAGAGTTGAGAATTAAAAAGTTACTCTGGGGGTCTGGTTACGGCGGGGGAGGGGGCGGAAAGGAGCTGGAGAGAGGGGAGAGGCCTCACGTGCAGAGGATGGTTTCCTGATTCCGGCTCCTCTGGTGACCCCTTCCCAAATCCTCCACCCACCCCCAGCCCCGCCCCTCCAGCCCCCGCAGCCCTTGGAGACAGAGGAAGTGGCCAGGAGCTCCTGGGCCCCAGCTGGAGCGGGGACAACAGTGACGGCACCAGTCGAGGAAATCCAACTTGGCAGCTCAGCGACAGGGCCCGGAGTGACATCCGTGCGAACAAAGGGAGTGTGTTCCCAGGGAGAGGAAGCTGTCTCCTTGTCCACCCGTGGGCTCAGCATGGGTGTAGCATCTACACCTGCTGCCCACCCTGGCCCGGGGCGATCCACAGGCCTCCCTGCCTCCCTGCTCTGGGCCTGGTGCCTCGGGTGGTTTCCACGAGTCCCCCCTTTTCCACCTGTGGTCCTGAGGTGGGAGGTGAGAGCAGGGGTCAGGGAGACATGGCATCTGTCTGGCATCCAGTTCTTTTCACGCTCTAATCCACCCTGGAGCCACAGAGGGTTTAGCCGAGGGGGGCCCTGCCTAAATCTGCTCCAGGCCGTGGCCCTCCGGATCTGGCACGCGGTGCCCATGCTAAGACCAGAAAATCTTCCAAGCTTCTCTCCTGGGTCAGATACCAAGGTGCTAACTTCTCCCAAGAGCTGCCCTCTCTCCACTGTACTCACTGCTCGCCTTCCAGCTGTTACAGAGGCTGCCAAGAGATGTCATTTTCACTCAGACATCGTGTGCATGAAAGAGGAGGCAAAAACTCTCCAAGTGGAAGTCTCAGTGAGGGTGGAAAGCCTGGTCTGTGCCAGGGAGCGGGTTGATTTTTTCCTGCTACGGAAACAGCCTCACAGTGACAGTCTAGTGTGTAGCTGTGAGGCCCGTGAACTTGCCTGTGGCAGGAGCCCCAGGCAGCCACTGGAAAGGGGGAAGGACTCCAGGCAGCAGATGGTGGGCAGCCTGTACCTCCGTGCCCGCCCTCAGGAAGGCAGCCCCACCGAGCTGGTCATTGAAGAGAAACTGGTTAACTGGTTTCCAAGGCAAGAGCGTCCCAATGATGGGAGCCTGGCTAAACAAAGTCTCTTTTCATTTCTGGACAAATTATAGCTCAGATGGAACGTGGTAGGGGTGGGGGTGAGATGCGGAGCTGCGTCAGGAGGAGAAAGGCAGGCAGCACACAGTAAGAGGAGCCATTATGCTCGGCAGCCTTCTCGGTCCCTCGCTGGGGCCAGGTCGAGCGGGTTCCCGAGAGTTCTGCCAGGATGTTCCTGGCCTGGCCTCGGGTGGGCGTGGGCGGTGCCCTCTGCACCCAGAGCCACGCCTGCTGAGCGAAGCCTCCTGCCCACTTACTTTAGTCAGCTCCCTTTTTTCTTCTCTCGGGGTGCGGAAAGGGGCTGGGGTCACCGGGCCCTGAGCCTTAAAACACTGTGCTGACCAGAAGTCATTTAGTGGCAAAACAGAATTTCAGTCTCTGGGAAAGTGAATCTGACCCAGAGGAAGCAGCCTAATTCCCAATGGCCCTGGAGAGCGCTCCCAACCCAGAGCCACTGGAGAAATGTGACACCACCTGGCTGCAGCCCAGCTCTGCCCAAGAGCCCCTTGTCAGGAGAGCCCCTTGTCCCCGTATCACTCTGTTAGGGGCACTGGCTACAGGCAGGGAGCTCTAGGATGACGGGATGAAGCTCAGCCAGCTGGGTGTAGGCACTGGACCCTGAATTCTTTCACAGGTTCCCACAGCTTGAGAAACTCCACTCCCTTGCTCCGACCTCTTGTTTGCTGTGGCTCCAGTTCCAGCTCCAAGCAAAGAGCTGTCTCTCGGGCTGACTGAGACATTCCTGACTCCTTTTCCCGCCCATTCAGTGCCGACAACCACTAGCTTTACTCCCAAGGATGAACAGGAACAGAGCTCACAGTATTTACATAAGGGCTGCATAGCAGTGGAATGATGATCCTTTTTTTATAAAGGCCACAGAAGTTTAGCCAAAGACCATGTTCTACCAAAGGAAGACATTTCAATCAATGTGATACTTAATCAACGTGGTAGAGTGATTCCTATGATAACATGCATATTTGTAAGTTAAATTTTTAAAGATAAAACCCCTTTACACAGATATATTTAGAGTCCTCAGCTCCATTCTTCCGACAGGGGCAGACCCCTAGAGAAACAAATCTGCTAGGGAAGAGGAACCCGAGGGCCCGGGGCAGGGAGTGGAGGGCCCGGCGGGGGGCACTTACGATGCTCCGGAGCATCTTGTCCCCACCGCTGAAGGTGACTGCCAGCATGGAGGCACACTCCTCTGCGTAGAAAGGCATCCGTCCCTCCTCGTCCACAGCACCTGGGGACAGAGGGGGGGAAATGGGAGCAGAGATAAGGGCCTGATAACATCAGAGTCATCTCTGAGTTATCACCTGGGGGGTTGTCCTGAGTTTAAAAAAATGACCTCAGTGGTCCAAGTCCTTCAAGTACCCACACTCCTCACCAGGATAGGCAGCTTCAAATGGCAGAGGGTATTCTGCGCCCTAAGACCATTCTTTCAACAGGCTCCAGGGTGAATCTGGGGGGCGTCCCACCTCAATACCTACTCATCCATTCGCACGTGCGTTTTCCTCAACGTTTATCAATTACCTACCGTGAGTCGCACACTGTGTGAGGCATGGGCGCCATGGGAGAAGGGCACAGACCTGATCTCAAGGAGCCCATAGTCAGGGAGGAGGTCGGGTAAGTAAATGAAAACAACCGGGATGGTAAATGCTATGGGAGGGAGCACAGGTAAAGGGCATTTGGGGGTCAGGGAAGGCTTCCAGAAGGAGGGAAAGGACCCATGGAAAAGAGGCCAAAGCAGAGGCCTAAGCAGCAGTGGGGAGTGGAGGCGGGGGGTGGGCTTGGTATCCCAGATGATGGGTGGAAAGTGCTCCGGGGTATGACTTCTAAGGAAGTCCTGACATCCTCCGAGAGCAGGGCTAGTCCCTCCTAACTATCAGAGACTGAAGAGAAGAGAAGATCACGCATACACTTTTAGACAGACCCACGGAAGCTGGGGCCACACCCACATACACGGGCCCGTCACCACTGAGTGTCTCTCTCTCTCACACACACAGGCGTGAGCACACATGCACACTCGGGGCCACCAGGCCACTACCTATGGTGACCGTATAGATGGAGTTGGCGTAGCCATCGTAGTTGCAGTTGTCGTTGTGCTGGCCCCCATTGCCACTGGCTACCACGAAGATGCTCCCAAAGCCCTGGCGGCCAGCGATCACCCCGTGTTGCAGGGCAGCCTGAGGGGCAAAACGTCCAGGTCAGTTGAGGAGTTCATAGGAAGACCCCAACCTCCATGCCGCTCACTCTCTCCTCCCCTTCTAGAAGGAAAAGAAAAAAAGCCAAGGGCACTGGACATGGGAGAAAGAGATTTAAAGATGGACTCAAGGTGAAGGGGCTGTTAGTGGAACAGCTGTATGGTGGACGGGCTCTGCTTATCAGAGAGGGTAGGGCCAGAAATGGGGAGCCAAGCACACAACCAGAGCGAAACAACCTCAAAGCACTGCTCCATTTCTCTCTAAGAACGTCCTCCACACTCCCCCAACCCCAGGTCAGGAGCGCTCTTCCCAAAGGAGGTGCCCGGGCTACATGTTAGGTCTGGCCCTGCAAATGGGGGTGGGGCGGGAGCAGTTCCAGGAACGGAATGAAGAGGGGGTCCTGGGTCTCCAAAGTCTCCACGCGGTCCCCAGTTACCTTCCCAAGCTGATGGGGACCGTCCACCGTCTTTCCATCGTCATCTGGTCCCCAGCTGTTGAGAGATACCCAGTGGGAAGAGCCAGAGCCGGGCTGTGGCTGCCCACCCGGGCCCCCCAGGCTCAGCCATCCCTCCGCCTGGGCCCTTCCTCTCCTCCCAAGGGCTCCAGCTCCGGACTCCCACGATGAAAGGACATAGGGGTCAAAGGTCCAGGCCTCACTCCAAAGTGGAAAACAGAAGTATGTGCTGAAGTTCTTCTTGTCCTTGGAAACTTTCCCAGCTTAGGACTACTTTGACCTGACCCTAAAAACCCTTTCTCAGGTCCCCGGGGAGTGCAGAGTGGTAGAGATGGATGGGACCTAGGGACCTAACGCTAGGCTTGATGGCAGAGCACCAGCGAAGGAAGTATCTGGGAAAGCTCTCGGGTCGGAGGAGTTCTCCACTCTTTCTCTGAAAGGAAATGTCCATGTGGATACTGCCATGCATTTACAGGAGACACTGCTTGGGGAAGAGCAGGTGCCATCAGTGCTGGGGGGCAGCCCAGCCTCAGCCCCTCCTTATCAAACACCCCCTCCCCACCATAACCGTAACCTGGAGCTGCAGGTGTGTTTCTGGGGGGTGGTGTCATGGGGCCCGGTGCTGGGTGTCCAGCTCCGCTGTGGTTGGAAAGGAATGCCCAATTTCTTCCAGAGCCTTCTGAGTTTGATAAACAGATAAACACGAGGCAGGATGGAGCACTCCTCGTGTGGCAACCTGATTACTGGGGTGACAAGGGGCTTAAGACTGAGAACCCAGACGCCGGGGGTCTGGAGAAATGAGGGCAGTGGACTTACAGGCTGAACCCAGTGGGGAAAGCCCTGCTGGGACCTGCCCGAGTCAGCCCATCCTGCTGTTCTTTGGTTGGAGGATTCGCCCAGTGCCCGAGCCTCTGGCCCCCTCACCTTGTTCCTGGCTCTGCCTCACCTGCAACTGTAGATGTCATTGATCTGATAGTGCTTGTTGAACGCCACAGCCTCCATGCTGTCTGTCAGGGGTCCATCCAGTACCCGGATGCCTAGGCGGTGAAGGCCATACCGGCTCCTCAATAATGCTGGTCCCCTAGACGGGGAGCTGGGTGCTGGGGGGCCCCCCTGTGGAGACTTACTTTTCCTCTAAGTGCTCTTGGGTCTTTTGAATTTTTATACCATGTGCATGTACCTGTCCGGAAATATTTTTTAACATAATGCTAAATCTTAGACTTTAAGGATCCTGGGGTCCGGTGGGAAGATGCAGAGCCTAGAATGTAGGGAATCCAAGGTCCCCTTCTTATGTGCATCCTTAATCATGTAAAACACTGCAGTGGTGCTTGACACACAGAGGGTATTCAATAGATGGTACTCATCAGCATTAGTCCTCTCATGGATGCCTAATCTCACCCAATAAAATGGGGTGGGTCACATCCTGGTGACCACATAGGGCGGAATGGAGCTTTCAGAAGGGACTTGGGCCCTGAAGGTTTCTGGCTCCCTCTGTAGCCCCATTCGCAGGGAGGGCTGCTGACCTCTGCTGGAGTGTAAGAGGAATACAGCCAATCTATTCCAACCTCGGAAATGCAGGTCCCAAGCATTTATGAGGAATCACGCGGACAGCGTGTCCCCATTCATCCCCTTCACCTTCTGCCTCGATGGACAAAGACCGAGAGGCAGAGGAGCTGCAGGTACCACCCCAGTGGGGGCCAGGGCTACTCCGCTCTCCTGAAAGGATGGAGAGCAGATGGCGACCATCAGAAGGGCTGGGAACTGGAGAGCTGGGAGAAGGGAGAGGGGCTTCCACAGACACATGGGGGTCACGGAGGAAGGGCAGACCAGGGAGCACTTGGTAAACCATTAAAATACAAATACAGCATGGATGAGTATAAGGAGTTATCATCACAAGGAGCTGAGCATTGCAGGGCGTAACCATGATCAGAAAAAGGGAAGAGTCGTCTGAATAGGTGGGGCTTGGGCCTCCATCTCCCATCCAGAGCATTTCATACCTTCAGCTGTTTTATACATGCTAAAAACATGTTGGAAACACAGTGCATTGAAAAAAATCAATGAACCAATACATCCTGCAGACACCTATTTATAAGCTTAACCTTTGCTTTCTGCTGTGTGTTGAGAGTGAAATAAAGTCGGGTTGGAATTCATGGGGGAGGCACAGAGGATGGACAGCTGTCACAGGAGGAATGTACTGAGGCTAGACTGGAGGTACCTGCTATGCGGCTCCCATACGCCACTCCCACAGCACAGAAGCTGTTGTTGGGCACGGCAGCGATCTCTCCTGCACACCTCGTGCCATGATGGTTGCCATTCTCCACATCTGGGTGGGGCATGGGGTCAGGGTCGTTAGAGTTGAGGTCATAGCTGCCCTCAGGGCTCTGAAACAAGGCGGGGGGGGGGGGGGCGGGGGGGGGAAGCTTGAGCTTTCCAACGAAAAGCCCGGAGGCGAGGCCTAGCAGAGGTTTTCTCTTGTCCCGCTCC